AAGACCTCCTGGATCTTTTCTTCTACTTTTGCCTGGTAAGGATGCAGAAGATGGGAGAGAGAAAACAAATGCAGATGAGACCTCCATCAGCTTTTTCTTCCTATTGCCACAAATGCCTATTGGCTAGGGTTGGTTGGTATGGTTTGGAACTTCACAGTACTGTAAGACAGGGGTTCTGCAGGATGACAGGCCTAGGACAAGGCGAGGAGGAATCCCCTGTACCATGTTGGCATCACAATGGACTGTTCCAGAAACCGAATCCATAATATCTGAACTAACGGCAGTTTTGGTGTTTAGTTCCCTGGCACCAGTTATTCAGGGAGCCGATGAAGACAGCAGATGTCTCTTGCTTGTGTAGGAGACCATCTGCCACGCCAAAATATGCCTCAATGGCATAAGGATTATTTTGAGAAACTGCAGATACAGGAGAAGCTCTGAAAACAGAGTACACCAGTTTGAGACAGAAATGTACATCTATAAAGGAACTCTCTATTTGTAAGGCTGTTTCCCTCTCTGTACCAAAAGAGAAGGATGACTAAATCAGAAGAAACTATTATCAATGGAGAAGGCACCTACTGAAATCTGCATCACAAACCTTACCCTTATTTATCATACTTGTCCTGTTCACCTCCCCATCACTGGCTTCCCCCACAACCTTCTCTGTTTTTAGTTGCAAATGCTATATAAGCCGGAGTTCTAGATCACCTCTTTCAGAATGACTCATTTTCTCCTGGGTATCTCCCATGTATACATGAAGTATACATGTTAACAAACTTCTGCTTTTTTTTTTTTGTTATCCTGTTATTTTGTTATAGAGGTTTCAGCCCAGAAATTAGAAGGGTAGAGGGAAAATGACATTTTCCTCCCCTCCACTTAAAATATGTATTCTTCCTGCTCTATAAAGTTGTTTGGGTGGTCACTAACTGACCACTCTGAAACACATAACTAGTTTCTGCCAACAGTTGTGCTTTCTACTGTAAGACTGAAGAGTTAAAATATTAAAATCATCTGCGGGGTTTAGAACAACATCAATTGTTGAAACACCAAAACAAATAGCAAATTCTGGTCCTACGTCATACACAGGACTCCACGGTCCCATAAAATGAAGGATCTCAGAAAGTCAGGTCACAAAAGCAATCAGATCTTTCTCCTCTGAACGCCACACCATAATGCTGAAACTGCCCCACATGGTTGACAAAAACTGCATGCTGGGTTCTGGACAGAAATACAGTTATAATTAAGCATGAATGAGGCTGCACTTCAGCCCACTTCCTGGTTGCTAAAAAATCTGACCATTTGCATCCCATTGTTCATACAGATCCAGGATCTCTGACATTAGAATCATAAGACTTTTGTTTAAGGACCATCTAGGATGTTTTTCAGACTCTGAATTTCAGCCATCAGTTTCAAAACTCCCCCAGAGGAATAGGATCTGCCTGAGAATACAGCTTCCTCATCTCCCTGACCATAACTTCACCCTACATTTTTCAGCCAATCCACAAACTCCACGCTCCACACTTCAGCCCACTCCAAAGCCCTTAAAAACCCTAACCCCAAACTTTTCAAGGAGGAATCTGAGGATTCTTTCCATCTCCTCATCAAATGATCTTATGACTAAACCTCCTTCTCTGCTGCAACCCCCTGCCTTGGTGTAATGACTTGCTGAGCACACCCGGCAACGACTGTGGTCACAATGTGGTCTCATGGGAGAGCTCCTGTAAAGACAAGGTACAGTAATGAGGGAAGATCTGGTTAACAGGATTGGGGTTCACCTTCCTTGACATCCCTAATCTTTGTAATGAGACATGTTTTTGTTGAGATTTCAAGATATATAAAAATCTCCCTGAGAAACTTCAAAAATGCATCATTTATTTCTGAAACACCCATTGAGGCTGAGCTCCTAGTCCCTTTGAGAAGCATGCAAGAAATATCTGTCATGATGAGGGGAGCAGTGACATGAATCATCTAAAATGACAGCTAATCTAAAATTAATTCACATCTGGTTTTAGAATATGCTTTTATATTTGCTTTCGAACAAATTTGAAGGATGACCTGTTTAAAAGGTTACAATAGGGGCCAGGTGCGGTGGCTCACGCCTGTAATCCCAGCACTTTGGGAGGCTGAGGCGGGTGGATCACGAGGTCAAGAGATCGAGACCATCCTGGTCAACATGGTGAAACCGTGTCTCTACTAAAAATACAAAAAAAAATTAGCTGGGCATGGTGGCGCATGCCTGTAGTCCCAGCTACTTGGGAGGCTGAGGCAGAAGAATTGCCTGAACCCAGGAGGCAGAGGTTGCGGTAAGCTGAGATCGCTCCATTGCACTCCAGCCTGGGTAACAAGAGCGAAATTCCGTCTCAAAAAAAAAAAAAAAAAAAAGGTTACAATACTTCAAAAAACAGACTGACATCACCATGAGAATCTGACTTGGGAGGAATTAGAAAGTCATCCCAGAATCATCATAATTCTTTTTCCATTCCCGACATTCACGTGGCTAAAATAAAGCACCAGCCTAAATGAAGCACAGAATTCATTTCTCAGTCATGCCTATAAGCTGAATGGGATAGAAAAATAGATAAGAAATCAGTAAGATCATTAAATAAAGATTTGCCTATGATATATCATCATCTCTCAGTATCCATGTGGGATTGGTTCAAGGATCTCCCAGGATACCGAAATCCGTGGATGCTCGAGTCCTTGATATAAAATGGTGGCATTTTGCCCAAAACCTATACAACCCTTCCATATAATCACGAATAGCTTAACTACAGGGATACGTTCTGAGAGATGCCTTCTTAGGTGATTTCATCCTTGTGCGAGCATCACAAAGTGTACTTAAACCAACCTGGACCTGGGTGGTATGGCCTACCACATACGTGGGCTATATAGTGTAGCCTATTGCTTCTGGGCTACAGACCTGTACAGCATGTTACTAAATACTGTAGCAAATGTAACATAATAGTAAGCCTTTGTAGATCTAAAAATATCCAAACATAAAAAAATTTAGTGAAAATACACTACTATAATCTTTCAAGACCACTGCGGTACATGCAGACTGAGGATTGTTATATGGTGCACGCCTGCATTTTAAATCATCTCTAGATTACTTATAATAGCTCCCAGTATAACATAACTACAATTGAGAAAAGAAAAATAGCTCAGAGCAGTCTGAGTTATGTGACGTATACAAAATTTATCAGGCCCAGGGAGATCAAGTATAGGACTTCGGTTATGCTCCCAACAACCACGTCTTGGAGCAGCTGTTTAAAGGCATTTCATTCCTCCCTAGCTGCCTCATCCATTATATTCATGTTCCTGGAATTTGTGATACAAAGAATAAGGCATACCTTATGTAATTTTAATGTAAAGTCTTGGTGAACAATTTAGAAACTGCCTCTTCTTTTCCTTTATTTATTTTTCTTTTAGTCAGCTTTTTGGGTAACTATTCTTGTCCTTTAAAAACCTACTTGTAACTGCTGCTAATTAGAGTGAACATTCAGGGCAACTTGAATCTATGCTCTTAGGCTGCAATCGTCAATTTTGGCCCAAATAAACTCTCCACTTATATTAACTTCACCTCAGCTTCTTCCTTTTAGGTTGACACAATAACAAGGAAATAAGTCTGTACTTATTCAGCACAGACACAATTTTTTTTTCCCAAATATTTTCAATCTGTGGTTAGCTGAATCCACAGAGGCAGAACCCAAGGATATGGAGGACCAACTGCACTGTTTTATCTAAGTGAGTTAGCGAGTTCTGAATGACACAAAATCAACTGGGAAGAAAATTCACTTCCTTTACTCTAATATAAGCCATTTGAATCCATATGACTTAATAATATTCAAAGGCTAATGCATGAACGCATCTTCCTCTTAACATTCTGGCACTTAGATGCCTAGGGATAAAAGCTCCCAGCCAGGAACTCCTTAATCAGAAGTCCCATCTTCAGCTCTCTTGCGGGAAAGCAGCCAAGTACTACACAAGAAAAATGGAGTTTTATTTCTGAGCTAAGACACCTGACAAAAACATGGAAATATTTTATACTGCACAGTGGAAAATGCTTAAAATTTTCCCAACGTAGTGTCCTTCTCTTTGGAGTTCCTAATCATTTATTCAGAATGAACAAGTGATTTTCCAATGCAGTTAGTAACTGACTCATATCTGAAAAGTCAAGTTATGAATTCTGATGAATATCTGTGTATTACAGGTCAGCTGTTCATAATAATAAATAATTTTCTCTTAAGAACTGATATATTTTTCTATTTTTTTTTCCTTTTGTAACAGGTCCCATGGATAATTAAGAACTGGTATAGTTTTTTAACAGCTTTATTGAGATACAATTCATATACCATTCAATTCATTCATTTAAAGTGCACAAATCAATGACTTCTAGCATATTCATAGAGTAGTGTATCCATCACAATCACTTTTAGAACATTTCACTCCCCCAAAAAGTAACCCCACAGTTCTCAGGTATCAAATCCAACTTATCATTCTCCCCACTGCCAACCACTAATTTACTTTCTTTTTTTTTTCTTTTCTTTTTTTTGAGATGGAGTCTCACTCTGCTGCCCAGCCTGGAGTGCAGTGGTGAGATCTCGGCTCATTGCAACTGCTGCCTCCCAGGTTCAAGCAATTCTCTTGCCTCAGCCTCTTGAGTAATTGGGATTACAGGAACCCACCACCAGCCCTGGCTAACTTTTTGCATTTTTAGTAAAGATGGGGTTTCACCACGTTTGCCAGGTTGGTCTCAAAGTCCTGACCTCAAGTGATCCACCCACCTCGGTCTCCCAAAGTACTGGGATTACAGGCGTGAGCCACCATGCCTGGCCCTCTAATTTACTTTCTTTCTACCTCTATAAATGTACCTGTTTGGCATTGCATATAAATGGAATCATACAAGCTGCGGTCCTTTGTGGCTGGCTTCTTTCACAAGCATAATGTTTTCTAAGCTCATCTATGCTGTGGCATGTACCATTACTCCATTTATATTTCACCAAATAATATTCCATTGTATAGATACATCACATTTTGTGTACCAGTTTATCAGCTGGTGAACATTTTTTGGCCATTATGAATAATGCTGCTATGAGTCACAGAAACCATTCCCCTCACTCAAGAAACAGGTTACGCGAGACTCCGTCTCAAAAAAAAAAAAAAAGAAAGAAACAGGTTCTCCAGGAACTAAGCTAAACTTATTTGAAATGGAAATTCTCAGGTATTCTCAGCATAGACCTATAGATTCACTTAGGGGGTGGGGTCCACCCAACTTCTTTTAATAGGTCCTCCAGGGGATTCTGATGGATGCAACGCTAACATTTGTGAACATCGTCAAAATCAGAATGGAAGGCCGGGCGCGGTGGCTCAAGCCTGTAATCCCAGCACTTTGGGAGGCCGAGGCGGGTGGATCACGAGGTCAGGAGATCGAGACCATCCTGGTCAACATGGTGAAACCCCGTCTCTACTAAAAATACAAAAAATTAGCTGGGCATGGTGGTGCGTGCCTGTAATCCCGGCTACTCAGGAGGCTGAGGCAGGAGAATTGCCTGAACCCAGGAGGCGGAGGTTGCGGTGAGCCGAGATCGCGCCATTGCACTCCAGCCTGGGTAACATAAGTGAAACTCCATCTCAAAAAAAAAATCAAAATGGAGTTACTTATGTTTAAAAATTCTAACAATGCCAGGGACAGCTACAAAGAGAGGGTTCTCATGCATCAACGCTTGATAACAAAAACTATCCCAAATGACTGCAAAAACCACAACCCTGCACAAAGGTCATCACAACCTAACACAAAAAATAATTCCACGAGGACATCTGTCCAGGAACTACTTGTCCAATCTCAAACTGGTCACACTTGTTACTGATCCTTGTAGGTAATAATAGTTATCTTAAAAGAACTATATAATCCTCATTATTCCCTTAAAAATCTTTGTCTTATGAGCTGGGCATGGTAGCTCACGCCTGTAATCCCAGCACTTTGGGAGGCCAAGGTGGGCAGATCACCTGAGGTCAGGAGTTCGAGACCAGCCTGACCAAAATGGAGAAACCCTATCTCTACTAAAAATACAAAATTAGCCGGGTGTGGTGGCATATGCCTGTAATTCCAGCTACTCGGGAGCCTGAGGCAGGAGAATTGCTTGAACCTGGGAGGTAGAGGTTGCAGTGAACTGAGATCACACCATTGCACTCCAGCCTGGGCAACAAAAGCGAAACTCCATCTCAAAAAAAAAAAAAAAAGAAAAAAGCCTTTGTCTTTCTTTACCTCCTTGAATATGCACATAGTTTACTGTGGCACAGATATTCCCACTGTAATACTCTATTCCCAAATAAGTGTCATGTTCTTTTAGAGAGCCTCTCTCTATTAATTTAGGTTGAAAGTTTGATCAAACAAAGTTTTTAGCAGTGGCAATAGTCACTACATTTCAGCTCAGGGGTTGATGCATAACGTTTTACCTCAAATAGTACTTTCTTCATTCATAATTAATTTAAAAATAGTAACATACTTTTCTTCTCAACTAGTAGAGGATAAACAAAAATAACAAACCTTTTTAAATGTTTAACAAAAATTCCTCTAAATAAATAACCTAACATTTGAATGTGCAGGAGACCAGAATATGCCACCTCAAAACATGACTGCAGGAGACCAGAATATGTCTTCCCACAATAGTCTTCTTTGGCATAAGGATTATTTTGAGTTGATTATTTTGAGAAACAGCAGACAAAAGAGAAGCTCTGAAAACAGAGCAGAAGTTACCCCATTTGTAAGGGAAAATTACATCTATAAAGGAAATCTCCCTTTGCCTCTCTTTCTGTACCAGGAAGAGAAGGATGACTCTAAGCCACTAGGAACTCTGCCCAATGGAGAAGGCACCTACCTAAACCTGCTTGACAAACCTTACCATTGTTTACTCTGCTTTTTCTGGTCACCTCCCCATTCTTGGCCTCCCCAAACCCTTCTTTCTTTGTTTCAGCTGAACATGGTGGTTAAGCCTGAAGTCTATGCCACCTCTTTGAGATTTACCCATTTTGTAATCACCCAACGGGTTTTTCCTGCTTGCTGCACAGACAAAACCAATTCACTGAGACCACAGCCTTGCAATAATGAAAGAGTTTAACTGAATGCAGCTGGCCACACCATGCCGGAGACAGAGTTATTACTCAAATCACTTTTCCCGAAGGCTTGGAGGTTTTTCAAGGATAGTTTGGTGGGCAGGGGGTTAGGGAATGGGAATGCTGCTTGGTTGGGATTAAATCATAAGGGTGTGGAAGGAAGACGGTGCTCCTGCACTGAGTCAGCCTCTGGGTGGGACCACAGGACCCGTCTGTGTGGAGTCAGCCAGTCAGAAATGCAAAAGTGTGAAGAGACATCTCAACAGGCCAATCTTAGGTTCTGCAATTGGGATGTCATCTACAGGGGTAATTGGGAAAGTTCTAAATCTTGTGACCTGGGAAATAAATTGCTGGTTATCCTTTACACCTACATCTTGACAGAATTCAGGACCCTCTCACAATCCTACAGGGAGATTGCCTTTGCCAAATTATGACCATAAGAGAAATCTGACAAGACTCCAACCAGTCAAGCAAGACTCCGTTTCTATTTTTTTTTAATGTGAAATGAAAAAAGGCAAAATGACAATGTGACAATTATGTGAATTTTTTAAAACACACACAAATCCAGTTGCTTATGAATGCATAAAAGGATTAAAAGTGAAATGTAAGGATGCACATACAACTCATGATAAGGGCTGGTTCTGGAAAGGGTGGGAGGCACACTGAACCGTGGATAGGGTTAAAGGAGGCTCTGGCTATATTTCTAATTGCTTTCCTTTAAACAAATAACCAGAAGCAAAAAAAAAGAAAAAGATGTTAGCAACTGTTAATTCTCAGTTACAGAAAAACAGCTGTTACATTATCATATTTTTGTTAACCATAAATTTCTTAGAAAAATAAAGGAAAAGGATTTCAAAGTGCTTAGTTTTCTGATGCCTCATCCCCCACACCTACATAGACAGGCAGGCCACAACATACGTAGAAGCTGTGTTCTCAAAGTTCACTGGTAAATCAGTTGAGTTTTTAGACCTTATTCATTCTCCCATCAATACATTATACCTAACTGTTAGGTTCCAAGGCCAGCTCTCCCATTATTTAATATATAACCTAACAAATGTTAAGCCTAATGGTACCTCTCTTACCTTTTCTAGTCATGAGGCAACTGATCACTCAGGATATGGCAAAGAGAGAAGAGTTTACCCCTGCTTCTGATAGGGCACAGGCTAGATATTTCTTTTCTTTTTTTTTTTTTTTTTTGAGATGGAGTCTCGCTCTGTCGTCCAGGCTGGAGTGCAGTGGTATGATCTCAGCTTACTGCAACGTCTGCCTCCCATGTTGAAGCAATTCTCTGCCTCAGACCCCCGAGTAGCTGGGATTACAGGCACCCACCAACACGCCCAGCAAATTTTTGTATATTTAGTACAGACAGGGCTTCATCATCTTGGCCAGGCTGGTCTTGAACTCCTGACCCTGTGATCCACCTGGCCTTTTTCTTTTCTATTTTCTCTCTCTCTCTCCTCTCTCCCTCTGCGTGTCTCCTTCCTCCCTCCCTCCCTCTCTTTCTCTCTCCCTCTTTCTTTCTTTCTAATAGAGATGGGGCCTCACCATGTTGCACAGGCTGGTCTCAAACACCTGGCCTCAAACGGTCCTCCTGCCTCACCCTTTCAAAGTGCTAAGATTACAGGCATGAGCCACTGTACCTAGCCCAGCCTAGGTTGTTTCTTTCTTTTTTTTTGAAACAGAGTTTTGCTCTTGTCACCTAGGTTAGAGTGCAATGACACAATCTCGGCTTACTGCAACCTCCACCTCCCGGATTCAAGCCATTCTCCTGCCTCAGCCCCCCTAGCTGGGACTACGGGTGTCTGCCACCAGGCCTGGCTAATTTTTATATTTTTAGTAGAGATGGGGTTTCACCATGTTGGCCAGGCTGGTCTTGAACTTCTAACCTCAGGTGATCCGCCTGCCTTGGCCTCCCGAAGTGTGGGGATTACAGGCATGAGCCACCGCACCCAGCCCCAGACTAGGTGTTTCTATGTACAGAACGTCTTCAAGTGTGCTGTTCATGCTTTATACATACATACATACATATATACATACACACACACATATATGCACACATATTATGTATATAAAATATACATATAATACATACATGTATAATACACACATATATCTTTAGGTATATAATACTAACTAATAAGTATCAACTCATAAACTACACATATATATATGATATGAACTAATATAGTCAAGCACCACATCAGGACCTTTCAGTCAACAACATGCTGCATATTCCACGGTAGTCCCGTAAGACTATGATGGAGCTGAAAATTCCCTATGGCCTAGTAACACAGCCTTCATAATGTTGTAGTACAAAGCATTACTCACATTCCTGTGGTGACGCCAGTGTAAACAAACCTACTGTATTGCTAGTGTTATAAAAGTAACACATACAGGCTGGGCACAGTGGCTCACACCTGTAATCCCAGCACTTTGGGAGGCCATTGTGTTCCAACTGCCTGCAGTATTTACTACAGTAACATGCTGTATAGTTTTGCAGCCTAGGAGCAACAGGCTATACCATATAGCCTAGATGTATTATGTCTTCTACATTTCTGTTAAGTACAGTCTATGATGTTCACACGACAAGGAAATTTCCTACCGACAATGTATTTCTACAGTCATTAAGTGATGCATAAGTATATGTACATTAGTTTGTATTGTTCAATGACAGAGAGGTTGTGTTAGACTCTAGGGGGCTGGAATCAAGTAACTGCACTAAAGTCCCCAAGACTTAAGTGCCATGGCAATAAATAAATGAAGAACTAACCAAACGTCTGCATTCTCAACAGCTCTGCTTAAAAGATACCTCATGAAGTTTTTCATTTAATCAATAGAAATCCAATCAATAGGCCAGGCATGGTGGCTCTCACCTGTAATCTCAGCACTTTGGGAGATGGAAGCGGGTGGATCACCTGAGGTAGGGAGTTCCAGACCAGCCTGGCCAACATGGTGAAACTCCATCTCTACTAAAATACAAAAATTAGCCGGGTGTGGCGGTGGGTGCCGGTAATCCCGGCTATTTGGGAGCCTGAGGCAGGAGAATCACTTGAATCTGGGAAGTGGAGGTTGCAGTGAGTAGAGATCGCATCACTGCACTCCAGCCTGGGCGATAAGACAAAAATTTTGTCTAAAAAAAAAAAAAAAAAAATCCAATCAATAAAAGCAGAGAATTTCCATTCACCGGTAAGTGGTAAACAACAACTAATGCATTCAGTACTTTCTTTT